TTAAGTAGCCGGTGGCATGGTCAAACACATCTTGAAATTGAAAAGCATCAGCCAGAGTCATCTCCAACGTCTGTCATTCCTGTTTTGACTAGCATCAGGAAAAACAATGTGTACTCGAAGCGCACAGCTACTCTATCTAATCTGACTCCAGTTATGCGTCAGCCACAGACTGTGTCAGACAATGTTAATACATTAAACTTAGCTTTATTAAATATCAGATCTCTGGCTGGCAAGTCACTATTAATTAATGATTTTATTATCAAGAGAAACCTTGATTTTATGTTTTTAACTGAAACTTGGTTAAATGAAAACAACAATGCAGCAGTACTTATTGAATCAGCCCCCCCAAACTTCCATTTTATCAGCTCAGTTAGAGAACTTAGGAAAGGAGGTGGAGTAGCCACTTTATTTAAGGATGTTTACCAGTGCAAACAGTTGTCATATGGGAAGTTTGAGTCTTTTGAATATGTTGCACTGCAGTTGAGATCCTCCTGTCAAGCAGTATTAGTAACCATTTACAGGCCTCCAAAATATAGTGCACACTTTGTTGATGACTTTTCTAAACTATTGTCTGTTGTCTGTATTGATTTTGACTGTGTTGTTATAGTGGGTGATTTTAATATTCATATTGATAATCCCAAAGATGGCAGTGCGAAAGAACTTTTCTACATCCTGGACAACTTTGAACTTTCCCAGCATGTAACAGAGCCAACACACAATAAGGGACATATTTTAGATCTAATTATCTCCAAAGGGCTCAACATTTCTGAGGTTGTGGTGACTGATGTTGCCTTTTCTGATCATTACTGTGTTTTCTTTAAAATGGCCATCTCCGCTGACACCAGTAAAAGTACAACAGGGGTAATCAGAAAACGCTATATCAACGAAAACACCTGTACACTATTCACCCAGGATTTTATACCCACACCAGCTGTGCCCTCAGTCTCTGTCAATGATCTGGTTCATAGTTTCAGCTCTAAAGCTATGAATATTATGGACAATATTGCCCCCATGAAGGTCAAAGTTGTCTCTGGTAAGAAAAAACCACCATGGAGGAACGCCACACAGGTAAAAGCTCAAAAAAGAGAATGTAGAAAAGCAGAACGCAGGTGGCGAAAAACCAAACTCCAGGTTCATTATGACATCTATAAGGAAAGTCTGCACATCTATAACTTGGAGCTAAAAAGGGCGCGGCAGTCCTTTTTCTCTGAGATTATCAACAAAAATAACAACAATGCACAGACTTTATTTACTGTTGTTGACAGACTGACAAACCCATCAGCGTCAGTCCCTCCTGAACTGCTATCCACCAAGGCATGCAATGACTTTGCTTCTTTTTTCACAGACAAGATTTTAAAGATAAGACAGACAGTCTGTAACTCCAACACAGTGGCTATTTCACCTGTGCCTCATAAGACTACTCCAGTTAATTTGGCACTTTTTCACCCATTAAATTATGCTACTTTGACAGACATAGTTAGAAACCTTAGGTCCACTACCTGCTGCCTTGACACTCTGCCTACAAGCTTTTTTAAAGATGTTTTTAACTGCATAGCATCAGATATACTACAGATAGTCAACTGTTCTCTTCAGTCAGGCCTTTTTCCAACGGCCCTGAAGACTGCAGTCATTAAACCTCTCTTAAAAAAGCCTAATCTGGATGCCTCAGTAATAAATAACTACAGGCCCATATCAAACCTACCATTTTTAGGAAAGATCATTGAAAAGGTTGTTTTTCAGCAACTTAACACCTTCTTGGAGCAAAACAATTCCTTTGATGCCTTTCAGTCTGGATTTCGAGCACATCACAGCACTGAGACTGCACTTGTAAAAGTTTTAAATGACATTCATCTGAGCAGTGATGCATCAAAGATTTCGGTTCTGGTATTACTGGACCTCAGTGCTGCATTCGACACAGTTGACCATAACATACTGCTCGACAGACTAGAAAAGTTTGTGGGACTTTCTGGCACTGTGCTAAATTGGTTTAAATCTTATTTACAAGACAGGGATTTCTTTGTGTCACTTGGCAATTATGAATCTGTGCGAACAAAAATTACATGTGGAGTTCCTCAAGGGTCCATTCTTGGGCCTCTTCTGTTCAACATCTATATGCTCCCTCTTGCTCAGATTATGGAATATCATAACATCTCCTACCATACTTATGCAGATGACACACAACTTTACATAACAGTGTCACCAGATGACTACAGTCCCCTACATCTGCTAAATAAGTGCATTGACGAAATCAATACGTGGATGTGCCAGAATTTTCTACAACTAAACACAGACAAAACTGAGATAGTTGTTTTTGGCCCCAAAGAACAAAGATCAATAGTCAGTGCTCACCTTGACGCCATGACACTAAAACCTACAAATCAAGCCAGAAATCTTGGTGTAGTTCTGGACTCAGACCTAAATTTCAATAGTCACATTAAGACAATTACTAAATCAGCCTACTACCACCTTAAAAACATAGCAAGAATAAAAGAATTTCTGTCTAAACAAGATACAGAAAAACTTGTTCATGCTTTCATTTTCAGCAGGCTGGACTATTGTAACGGTGTCTTCACAGGCCTGAGTAAAAAATCAATCAGACAACTGCAGCTCGTCCAGAACGCTGCTGCCAGAGTCCTCACCAACACCAAGAGAGTGGAGCACATTACACCAGTGCTTAAGTCACTGCACTGGCTTCCTGTGTGTCAAAGGATAGACTTTAAAATCTTGTTACTTGTCTATAAAGCACTAAATGGTCTCGGGCCTAAATACATCTCTGATATACTTGTACGTTATGAAGCATCCAGACCCCTCAGATCATCTGGAACAGGTTTACTCAGTGTTCCCAGGATCAAAACCAAACAAGGTGAAGCAGCCTTTAGTTTCTATGCTCCCCGCCTGTGGAACAAACTTCCAGAATATCTGAGGTCGGCTGAAACTGTCAACTCATTTAAATCAGGGCTTAAAACATTACTATTTACTGCAGCTTACCAGTGAACTAGATATGTAACTTATTGTTAGGATAATCTGTAGCTATTGTTTTTATATTTGTCTGCTGTTGCTTTTGCTTTATGTTTGCTTTTTAAATGCATTTTCTGCACTGTTTTTAACTATTTATTGTCTTGCTTTTAGCTTTTGTTTTTAATGATCTATTGTTCCTTTAATGTTTTATTTTAATGTATTTCTCTTGTAAAGCACATTGAATTGCCTTGTGTATGAATGGTGCTATATAAATAAAATTGCCTTGCCTTGCCTTGCCTATTAGCATGCTTACATTTGCAAATGAGCATTAAACTTAGCTGTCATTACTAGGAATGTCATGAGTTTGCAGATATTTTATTATTAAGTACTGTATTAAAAAATACTTTGATCTCTTGATCTGTTGTGATCTTGAATACTTCACCCCTAAAAATGATCACCTGCATAGCATTTACTCACCCTGTGTTACAGTGAATTTGGTTAGAAAACTTTGTTATTCTCGCATGCCTCCATGATGGTGAACGAAGAATCCAAAACCCAAGAAAATTCTTGATGAATTGAGGTCATAGGGGTCCACCTTTAACCCCAGCAAAACTATATCAAAGCATCTGTTTACAGGTTCTCACACAACCAGTGTAGTATAATTCAAGTCTCATTTATCCAGTTGTGTGCTCAGTACTTCCCAAACATGCATTTCACTGAAACGTTACTGTCTAAAACACTTCCACATAAACAGTCGCACACATGGACGAGTAACCTGCCCTGTTCATGCGGATGTTTTATAAATCGTAACGTTTTTGGGAAAATGAGTTTTTGGGAAGTACTAAGCATATGACTGGAAAAAATGAGACTACATGAGTTGTGTGAGAGTTTATAAACACATGTTTTGATATGGTTTTGTTGTTGTTAAAGGTGGATCCCTATGACCTCAATTTATCAAGAATTTTCTTAAGTTTTGGATTCTTCATTCACCATGAAGGTAAAAAATAAAGTATCTTCTCAAATTCAACTAAACACGGAGTGAATAATTGATATCCAAATGATCATTTGGGAGGTGAAGTATTTCTTTAAGGGATCACGAAAATGATTACAGTTGATCCTATGGGTGACATGAATATATGTACAGACCAAATGTCATGGCAGTCCATCCAGGAGTTGTTGAGACATTTCAGTCTGCACCAATGTAGGGCTGGGCAATATGGAGAAAATGAAATATCACGATATTCGTGACCGATATAGATATTGCAGCAATATTGTAGAAACCTATTTGTGCATTCACAAAATATTTACACAGTGATATTTTTAATAAATACTTACCAGTAATGTGGATAAAATGACTAAATGACCAAAGGCAAATAATTTAATGGCTCTAAACTGAGAAAAGTACGTCACTTTACTGTAATGCAGCCTTTAAAACTAAGACAGTATCTAATCTCATATCAAGTTATCGATATATTATTGATATGTTGCCCAGCCCTACTCCAAAGTCGTAGACTGACCGACAAACCAACTGACATTTCCATCCCTTGAGCCACAACCCTAGCATGGCTAAAACCTTTTTTTTAAGTTTCAAATAATTGATTTAACTGAGTGCACTATTTTAGAATAGTTGATACATCTAGTTCTGAAATTGTGCATTCAGTTGAAGGAGGCATCTTATTAAATTAAAACTACATGCCAGAGGGCTTTTTTTCAAAACTCTGCTATAACAATCAATCAAGTCCAGAATAATATATCAATTACATGCAATTTGAGTTTATGGCCATCTGTAAGCGTTCACACTATTTATTATAAAACTACAGAGTGGTAGAGTTGTTTTTTATGTAGCTGGCACAGACTTTTTAATGTCTTAGAAAGTTAACTGATGATATCACAATTAATTTCAAGTCTGCCAGAGGACATGTATTAATAACAAGGCAATTTCACAGAAGTTTGTTGTGGTTTTATGCTTACCACAGAGTTCAGAGCGGTTCGCCCTCTTTGTTTCTCTCTGACTCCGACTCTTCTTGTTGCTCTCGGCTCAGATAAATGTGAATATGACTCCCGGCAAGATCCGCTGCAGCAAGAAGGGAATTGTCCTGAGCCGAGCCGAGGACCGCATGTCGACTCGTGATGGAGAAAGGGGCCTGTACCAGTACTTCAGCTCAGTGCAGGGCCTGGTGGGCTTTCAGGACCACTTTGACTGGTATGAATAGCGCTCATCAAGCCACCATTAACGTGGGTTTTGTCCCCTCATCCAGCCTTTTACAAAACCTTCCTGTGCCGATTTGTCATTCAGGTGGGCCAGTAATACCTACTCCATCCGTGGGGGGAAGCCATTATGGGTCGACCCATTTGACCCACATGTTCAGCACATCTTCATAGACGACAACATAAGACAGGATGACGAGCACACCATAGTCCATCCCAAGGTACTGCCACTTCTTTCACACTGGGACATAATGCCATAATGCCCTAATGGCAACCATGAGGATTGTAACTACACTCACAGAATTTTATCACATCTTAAATTGGCTGATATTTTGAACAAATAATGAGTGCCATTATCGTTTTCCCAATTTTCTTTCCACTTTGGAAATGATTCAGCTTTTTGATTAGAGCCCGGATCTGAGATATGGGTGTTGGAGAGTTTATTATGTTAACATGTTTTTGTCACACTGCTCTGTCATTTTCTTTTATGTCATGAGAACAAAATCTCAGCACTTTGTTATGTAATCTTTGAGTCAATGGTCTTGACCTGCAGCTCTAAGAAATTTTATAGAGATTTATGTACATTAAATTAGGCCTTGTTCAGAGTGCTTGCCCAAATCCGTTTTTTAGCAAAATTGATTGATTTTAGAAAGTCTGGACAGCAAAATACACATGATGCTACTTTTCAAATCAGATCCACACCACAAGTGGAGGTGGTTTACAATGGGATACCAACCAGATTTCCACAGATGTGTTTAAGTCTGGTCACTCTGGCTGCTCAAATTGTGTTTCAAAGTGTCATTTGAATGAAAATTTTAAATCCAGAGTGTTGATGCTGAGCAGAATCCATGCTGCTTCCTGCAGAGCACTATGGGCACTATGCCTACGAGGAGTTCTGCACCTGTGACTTGTCAGTGTGATTGTTTGGAGGGCAAAATGATGGGCCTTTATTTCTCCTGCTTTCGCACTGGAAAGCCTTGTCATCGGCGTATCTACGTAGTTACTGACGCCTATGCTGTTACCACAGCAACCCATGCAGATAGATTGGTGACGTCTGTTTAAACAAATCAGATTTGACCACTTGCACATAACAATGCAGACAGTTTGTCTGTCAGATCTAAGCTCCGTGTTTTGCCTGCAGTCTGAATGTAGCCTTAGACCGGAGTTGCTGATATGATGTTTTTTTCACCTGCAGTTGTCACATACAGCTGTTTTGTTGTTTTTTTTTGTTAAATACATCACAGGGATGTCTGATCTCACACCCTCTCTCTTGGCTGTAGTAATTATACATTAAATTTTTTTTCTTTGGAAAATGTTAACAGTCCTACTTTTTGATAATACTGTTAGCATGGTGTTCTTAAGTGAACTCTTATATCTCTTGCAGTAGTAATTTTTAGTAGTAGACATTGTGTGTCATAGTAAGAAAAGCATGTGTTATTTCTAACTTTAACAATAGCTCTGTTCCATTCAAGTGTTGCAATAAGTAAGACAGTGTGACAGGGAGCCAGCATGCACAAGGCTGTGTCCCTGAAACTGAAGCAGCTAAATGGAATTCAGCCATTCATAGTGTTATTTACAGCTGTGCCTTTCCTACTGTGACATGTCAAAACAAGTGTCAGCGCTTAATAGACATTTAGGGTGTACATAAATGTAGTCCTTTTTTACAACACTTCACTGGAGTTTGCCCTTAACAATTACACCTACTTTTAGCTTCCTTATACAACACTTCTAAGTCTTATTTTTTGCTAATAATTTATGTTACTTAACTTATGTTAATCATCCTGTCAGTAAGATGTCCATGCAAAGGTATTTATAGATACTATAATGTGTATTATGAGGTTTTTTAGGACAGGTATTTATGCAGCAATTTCTCAATAAATAAATGCTTTGACAGATGTGTTTGTGAGACAGTAGCTGGTTCAGAAATTAACCTGATTTCCCCTCTCTTTTCTCTGTGTGCACATATGCATCTGTGCCTCTCAGGTTTTCTTGGACCCAGGTGGCACTGAGACTCGTGCAGCCTGCACCTCCGAGCTCTATGACATCACACTGGTCCAGACCGACCTCCTCCAGGCTATTTCTCAGCCAGACTACTTCACACAGCGTGTGCACATCTGCCTGGAAAACTATGAGAGGAATCTCCATCAGGGGGCAGGCTAGAACACAGTTCAACTGGATGTCTGTCTGTGACAACCTCCAGTTTAGGGTTCCATTAACCCAGACACAGTAGACTGTAGGTAGGGCTATTAAACAGGAAGACTGATGGCTTATTGAAGGACCAGAGATCATCAAAACACAGAAGAAGTTTACATATGGAAGAAGGTTAAAGGAATAAATATGCAGCTAAGGAAGGATCACAGTTACATTCTGAAGATGGCAGCTAGATAAGTAGGATTTGAATTTGTTTCAAACTGTTCAAGTACCGTGCTGACTTTATGTACTCCAGGAGAGCAGTAGAAAGGATGTGAGCTTATACAAAGGGTACTTGGCACATAGATTGTATTGTCTGCTGTCTCAAGGTGAACCGCCACAAAAAGAGTTTCTGACTTGATTAAGCGTTGAAGTGGCCAGGCCAGACTCTTTGATTACATCAAAGGCTCAATGACTAATCACACCATGGGATAATTGGCTTAACTCTCTGACATTTGACAGCATAATTGGGGTCAGATATGGTGAAAAGCCCTTTGAGTGTTGCGTTAGTTGTCTGGCGAGTAGAATCCACCAGGGTTTTGCTTCAGCTCTTCATTTGTCATCCTCAGGGTGTGACACTTTCATGTAGCTTCTTCCTTAGATTGTTTTAACTTCCATTGTTGGCCATCGTCTGTATTGTTTACGTCCGCTCAGAACTGAAAGGTAATACTTGAATATGTCCAGATGACTGATAAGGAATCGGATTACTGAGTATGACTTTGTTACTAAAGGGTAAAACCTCAAAGCACAATATAAACACATTATGAAGGCATTGCACAAGAAAATGACTTCAACTACTGTCTTATTTGACTGTATTGCTGGTAGGAATCATAAAAGACGAAATGTTTGATCAATAACAACACATATCGTTTTCTGATATGATCAGGTAAAACCAAACTATATCCATGATTCATTCGTAACAGCAGTTTCAACAAGTCCTCCAACCCATATGACCACATAAGTTGTATGTTGCTACCCTCTAATATGACCATTAGGAGAGTTTCTTAAATTAGCACCCCTACTGGTGGGTGATAGAATAGCTTGTATACGATTATTAATGGTCGTTTTAAAGACACAATCGACATTGTGAAACAGTAGCAGGTGCACCAGAACTACGTGGTTAGGTTTAGATGTTTGTCACTTATGTAATGTTAAGAACAACATACATCATGGACAACATCATGTATGACATATGTCAAGTACGACATACACCACAGACAACATACATCATGTATAACATACGTCATGTATGACAGGCAATGTTAAGCTGTTAAATACCTCAACGTTGACTTTTGGTTTCACAGGGGACATGAACATGGTCTCTTGGATAAAAGTCCTGTGTATGTTTGACCCTCCCACCCTGAGCAGACTTTTTTGCTCAGCTTTGTCGCCGGTTTTCCTTTTTTGCTCCTGTCATAATTATTCCGGCTACTAGACGTTGCTGCCCACCAGTAGACATAAATATGGGTCAGAATTGCTGCTTTAAAAACAACCTGTGTGGTCATATTTTGGAAGAGAACAGTCACCGCAGTTTATATCGTGTATATATAGAGTTTAAAGTAATATCTGAGACATATCATTAGGTTGAACATGGGTTTGGGATGTGTTTTTATTATTTGAAGGCACTCTTGTGAGACATTGAATAAGCTGAATTTGTGTGGAAGCTGTGGTATTTTTTGCTTTTAAGGGTTTTAGGATTTATTTATTTATTATTGAGCTTTCTGGGAGATTTTTTATTTCCCATACTTTCCTCAGGTCAACATTTTGAGAGACAGCTGATCTAAAAAAAACAAACAAAAAAAACACTCAAATGCAAGTTAATGAGAACAGTGGAGTGATGGTACTAGTACTGTACTTTTTTCAGTATATATCGAGCATTGATTTCCTTAAAAAAAGAACATCAAAGTGAATATAGTGACAAGAAAAATGCAAAGACAAAGCTGGGATGGAAAGCTTTGTTAGTGGTGGTAACATTTCCATGTTTTATTATTGCTCTGGCTCAGTTTTAGTGTGCAAAACACACAATGTTTGACTCACAAAATGGAAACATCTATATGACATTAGATAATTCATCACACAGCAGGTTTATCAGAGCAAAGCTAATAGGTGGTGGGATGACTGAGCATGTGATCAAGTGTTTTGTGCTTCCTATATGAGGACAATATTTTGTGGCAAAGAAAATGAGAAAAAAAAAAGCAGTGCAAGTTTTGCACACTGAAACTCTTCCAAAGCACTTCTAAAATATTTTAACACTGTGCATTGAAGTCTCATCCACATAACATGATTATCATGAATTCTGATGCTGCCATGCATTTGAATGCACATCACATCAACAACTTGGAAACTGTAATTTATTTATTTTTCTGATGGTAAATATTTCCATTCGGTGTTAAATAAACCAGTATGTCTTTTATTAAACTGTTTGGTGTTTTCCATAATGACAACTTCCTGTAAGCACACAGCATTGGATGATTGTTAGTGCCTTAGAGATACAGTTAGTAAAGTTATATCGATTTGGCCTTCTCTGCTCTGACACCATGAAGAATGTAAGAATATGATCAATAGGAGAAAACGGTGAAGGAGCCAATACGTGGCTGTATTACAGATTTTCAGACACAGCTCATGTATAAATCATCGATAGGTCATTGATTAATACATGTGTTTGTGTGTGTGTGTGTGTGTGTGTGACCAGGTCAGGTCCACTGGGGATTAATTAAGGCAAGTACATAGTGTGGTAAGTACATGCATTTGTATGCTTTGGTATGTTAAAATGGACATTAGAAATGTCTAATACTTCTCCTCCTACTACTCCAGCACAAACGCCTTTATCAGCACCCCTTCAGCTACCTGGAGTTACTTCAAGGGGAAATAATGAGTGGAAGCAGAGGACCAAATGATAAGGGAAATGCTCGCGAGATAAAATGCTTCGTCTCTCTGTAGTGTGGTATGGGATTAAAAATGCAAAACCTGGCCTGACAGAAGTGTTTGAAGTGAGGTTTTAATGGATAACTGTGCTCGTACTCTCCTAAAGCATTTGTTTAATTGACTGCTTCATTATGGCAGAGGTCAGACACATTAGTGCCTGTCCCGGGCTAATTGTGATTGACGATAGTGGGGCTGCTGGCAATTGACTAAACATTTGATGATTTACTTAAAAAGCAGATGGCACAACAGTGACTGGAATGGGAACTGGAAGAAAGAACAGCTTTTTTGAGGAACTGTAGCATAGATGTATACGTTTTATAGATACATCTATTTCTGTAGTGTATTCTCATCTGCTCTTGTTAGATCCAGTTATGTTCTACTGAGCTCTGATCTATCAGTCATTGAAGCAATGTCATACACAAGGTCGTGCTGGTGTACTCAGTATCAACACAGCTGTGATTTGGTCGTAGATGAACATGTGTTTGCTTCCAGATTCATTACTCTCGACATTAAAAACAAGTCAGAGTTGTACGTGCACTGCCTTCACAACATCACTATTCCTTTGGAATAGTGCCTTGTATAGTGACATCATTGCCACCAGATTGCATTTGAGGCTGCAGTCTATTTTTACAACACTGACACTGTTCACATTGATGAATGTCCCTCTGGTCAACAATGGCTGTTGCCTTGATATCCTGCAATCTGATGGCATTGTTGGCAATCGTCATGTCCACCATAGCTGCCTCCTGCTCAGTTTAAGTTCTGATCCTGCCACCAGGGTACGCCAGTGTGTTGGGTCTGTGAAAGTAGTACAAAAGGTCACTGTAAATACACAATAATAAGAATTCTACTGAATGTGTTGAAAAGCAGTTATGATACTGTAGAAACTTAAGTATCGCTGTGCCCTCTTAGGGACCCACAACCTCTTATTTGTCCTTCCCCGTCCTCACTGAGTTTATTGGTGGCAGCCTCTTCCATCCATGCGTGGTAACAACTTCAATCTATGTATTGAACTTTATAGAACTGAGAACTAATTGATGAATTCTGCACAGTTCACACAGGTGCTGATGATATTCATTATTGAGAGAGCAGTTTCAATTGGATATGGAAATCACAAAACATTCCAGGGGGGCGCTGCCATCTTGGAAGCATCAGCTTCCATAGCTGCATTAGCTGTTATAGCTAATTCTGACAGATGACAGATAGACTAGTATGCGTCAAAGACAAATACCCATATGTAGAAAAGCTCTCAATGTCAGTTAATGATATTGATCCTTACAAATTAGGGGATATCAAAGTACCTTGGACAATATGCCACCCATTAACGGTACTGTCACTGATGGCCCCCTTGGTTAGCTGTTAGGGCCTACAGCCTACACCTGTCAGCTGTTTACGAACTTTTAATCTTTGGAGGCCCATGTCCAGTTTACAAATGGATGAGTAGTCCACTGTACCTTCAGATCTACAAGCCAGATGGCAACTGTGCAATTATCAGGACAAAGATGAGCTAGCACATGTGCTAACTGAATGCTAAACTGAACTGAAAATGTCGGTCAATCGTGTAAAGTTAGTTTAATTTTATAGGTATCTAGCAAAATGAAACACATTCTGTTTGACTTTGAACTACCCCCTTCATTTATTATTATTGTTAATAGTAATAGTAATAATAATAATGATAATGATAATAATAACGGTGATGATAATCATAATAAAATAATAATTTGAGTATAAATAATTTATAGACTAATTTTATTTATTTTTTAATGAACTTTTTTTCTGTCAGTATTGGTTAAACTACTGTCTGTGACTGTATCTCTATCATAATTTTCTTTTTATTGTGTGACATGTAAAGGGCTGTGTTTTCTAAGTGCTGTGAACTGCAATATAAATGCGTTATAACAGGATCTAGTAGGCCTACTATTAAAATTACTATGTTGGATTTGTGTGTGTGTGTGTGTGTGTGTGTGTGTGTGTGTGTGTGTTTGTTTGTGTGTGGTTTTAAATATGGTTCCCTCAATCCACATGAGGGCAGCAGCGCAGCTTTCGGAGCACCCTCACCTTTCCAGGCAGATTCCTTCCCTTCAGGTGAGTCTGGAGTTACCTGATACAGGCGGTGAGCGGTGGGAAGCTTGCAGCGTGTTCAAAACAGCACATCCCAAAGCAGCACTGGACGCTTTTACAGGTTGCTAGTTAAGGGGGTGATGAGTCGTGCGTTGTCACTTCAGGATGGTGGAGGGACAGCTGGCACTGTGAATGTTTGGGGATTGCATAAATGCGCACTGGTGAGTGAGGGGAGGAGACGAGAGGAGAGGGACGGGAAGAGGAGGCAGGAGGGGGAGATATGTTGAGTCAGTGGAAGGAGGACGATGGTAACTGATGGTCTCGTTGGATTCTGTCACTGAACAGGAGCACGACAGGAGCGCGACTCCCACCGCTGTCCTCCGCTGCTAACATGCCGTGTCCAAACATTTACGCGGAGCTGATCCGGCGAGCTGCGACGCACCGCTGACTGCGCCTGCCGTCCACCCACCGGACTGAAAGGTAAGAGCTGCTGCCTGTCACCAAACTTTCCAGCTCTCTGCGTCTTATTTCACACGGCCAAATGACCCACAGGTGCTCCTGCGGACTTTTAGATGCTGGTTTTCTGCCAGGAAGACTTTAGATTGGGAAGGTCGATGCAATACGCAGGGTGCTTCACCTCCGCGCACATGTGCTCTGTTGTTGGCAGAGATGCTGCCGTTGTTGTTGGGCGTTGCGGAGCTACTAATGGACATGAAATCCTCATGAGCAGGTGTGGATACTTATTTTGCCCAAGTTTAATGACACTGTTCCAGGGGTTAAATGATGGAAGAGGATCAAGTACAGTATCACCAGAAATCACTCTGGACGCCATATCCAAAATAATCCCTTCAGTGGGTTGTGTTTCAGGACCGCGCATCTCAATCATCAGTTGTTGTGCAGTCGACATGAGGAGCTTTTACAAGTTTGGATGGCAGATGATATCAGCTGCAGGGACTTTGCCACTGCGTGGGGTTTAGTGAAGTGATGCTCCCATGTAGTGTCATTTGCGTTGCGTGATTTTTGGTGCAGATTCAGGGATTTTATGAAAAAGGTTGCAGGGCAACTCCATCCAGCTGTTTAGTGAGATGTGCCTTTTCTAGACAAGCCGGTGCCATCTGCTGTGTTGCCCAGCATCTGGCTGCAGCTGTGCTTCACAGGCAGATTTACTCTGTTCTTGGAGCAACTTTCTGCTCTCTTTTTACTGAGTCTTCACGTAGAGAGAGCCCTGCTCCTCTGTGCCCCCCCTCTTCCTGGGAATGATGCTTATTTCTCTCTCTTCCCCACCCTCCCTCCATCCTCACTTTCTTTTCAGAGCAGCATCCTACAGTTTAAAGCACCCGCTGCTCTAGCTGCTGTCAGGTCTGCTAAAGAGGTGGTTAGTTCCTCTAACACATTCCAACTTGTTCACTCCACCACTCCTCCCTCCCCTCTCTGTGTTGGTGCTACTTTTCCCATCCAACCTGCAATGATTGCTCCTAACTTGGTGTGAGTCAATTTGCATAATGAGGATTACAGCTGACATGCAGCGTCTGGGCCTGTCTTGCTGGATCCAGCAGCGAAGCATAGTGCTGTGGCAGATCTCATTGTGCCAGCAAAATGCCACCCTCAATCAGGACTCACCAGGAAGGCTGCTCTGACACACCGGGCTCTGCCACTTTGCCATCAGTGCAGGGACAATGACAAATGGACTGCCTGAGTATAGAATTATTCATGTATGAAATTAGCCATTGATGTCGTAGTTGGCAGAACTGCTTGTTAGATATCAATGAATTAAAATGCATGACTTTTTTCTTTTCAAATGATATACTGTAAGTATAATTGAATCACTTTATCCATAGTTTTAATTAGCATCAGTTCTGTCTGGAGGAGGACATACATTTCTCTTTGTTAGTGTTTGTTGATCTTGCTTTGCTTTGCTGCATTAACAATTGAGCTGCTACTTTACAGTTAAATTTATTCTAAAGATCAAACCACAGGTCAGAGCCCACAAGAGGACACATGGTCCTGAAGCTAGTCGGCCTCCGCATGACAAAAGCAGAAATGTATTTTTGATGAGACCGTTTCCCAGGCCAAATGACTACATTTCATATCTGTTGTGCCCATTTTGCCTCTTTTCTTATTTTATTTTCCATCATTTTCTGGTCACTCCGTGGTGCTATAGTGACAGCAGTGTGGCTCTTATCCTTAAATGACCTGTTATTTGTTACTTGTGATGTCTGTGATCAAGGAATTGAAGCTTGTCCTCCTGTTGAACTCACTGCAATTTGTGCTGAGAACAGCTGATGGTAGCCTGGGGCGTCATTCTCAACCATGCGTGTGCACAGCCTTGTGCCTAAACTATGCTACACTTATTTCTACACACAGAGTGTGATTAATCCATTTCTTCTTGTGCTTAAAAATGTGTGAACTTTTAGAACTTCCCCTGAC